AGCGAGTCACCCTAAATAGGGCGGCTGGGCGCAAATCAGCGAATGCAATAAGTGCGGAAAAATGCAAGCATTTTGCCACCCGTATCGCCACTAAATAAGTCCTAATAAAGGCTCTTAAGAGTATTCGGTCAGATTTGGAGTTACTGATCCTCCAGCGTTGCTCTAGACATCTCTTCTGGTGCTTCATTTCCCGGAGCTCCTCAGTAAATCAGGGAGCTTTCCTGGATCCACTGCCATGGAGAGGTTGCAAAGGCGCAATCCGGTCCAGTGCCCCAGATGCTGCCCTATTCCAGGCAGCAACCAGGGACTCAGCCGGACTGTGGATAAGGGAGTCAGGTATCTCCCCAAGTTCCTTCTGGGACCCTTCAGAGTCCACTAGGCGCCTGGGGTGGAACCACTTAATCGGCTCCGCCTCCCTGCAATGGAGGAGTAGCGCCCTGAAATCTAACTTCAGCAGAAAAGGATCTGACCACGACAAGGGAGAAGCATCTATAACCCTTAATTCCAGATCATATCTCCACTGCCCCGAAACACCAGGTCAAGTGTGTGTCCCCCCCTATGAGTCGGACCCTGAACTACTTGAGTCAGGTCCATGGTTGTCATGGAAGCCATGAACTCCTGAGCCGCATCTGAGGATTTGCCAAGTGACGGCAAATTGAAGTCCCCCAGTACCATAAGCCTGGGGAACTCCATCACCAGCCCGATTACTGCCTGTAGCAGCACAGGCAGGGCTGTCGTAATGCAGCTGGGAGGCAGGTCCGTCAACAACAAGCCCAACTGAGCCCTTGAGTCCAACCTCAAGAGGAGAGACTGATACCCAAAAATCTCAGGGGCAGGGATCCTGCGAGGGCAAAGACTCTTCCGGACAATAGCTGCCACTCCTCCACCCCTTCTCTGGAGTCGCGGCTGATGCAATATCTGGAAGCTGTCTGGGCACATCTCTGAGAGGGGCACACACCCCTCCTGGCCCAGCCAGGTCTCAGTTATGCATGCCAGGTCAGCCCCCTCCTCCAGGATTAAGTCCCTAATGAGGGGGGCCTTGTTAACAACAGACCTGGCATTAAACAGCAGCAGCCTGAGGCCAGGGCCCTGACATCCCAAGTCACCAGGTATACGAGACGAGCCCGGTGAACAAGAACCAGAGGGGCCGGAACAAGTAATCGCTTTGAGACAGCGAGTCCTAGTTCCCCAAGAGCGGCCTACCCCTCAGCTCCCGCCATATCTACCTCTCCCAGTCATAACCGCAATACTCTGGCTCTCCAACACCCCAGAGATCCCCTCCCCCACCTCAATGGCCCGCCTCCTCCCCGGCAGGCAAGGCACCCCACTCATACCGAGCCGGGGGTCATATCTGAGCCCCCATCTGCTTCTGTTTGCACACTCAGCAGAGGGGGCTCCATACCTTGCCCCCAGCTCCCTCATTCTCCCCGAATTCAGCCACTCCAAACCCATTCCTTCCATCCAATCCATCCCAACACCCTCACACATACACACACCCTCCCCAAGATAAAATTAATGTATTGAGCAAAAAGATATCAGGTGAGTTAAAACAAATCTAAAAGTGCTCTGGAGACCACCGATGGCTTGAGAGGAGCCACATATTGAGATAGCCCAGCAAACAGCGGGTGCCCTCCAGCCGTTGAACCTTGGCCCCCTCCAGTCCTTTCCAAAAGCTGATGGCCACTCCACCATCTTGCCTTGGGGACCCCGTGGATTTCACAGAAACCTCCGGTCTTTCTTTCAGATGTTCATCCTGGTTAAAGTCCTGTTTTCCTCTCCACCAGTACAGTCTAGAAGCCACGACTTGGCTCTATTTAAAAACATTGCATGTGGAATAAACCTGGTTCTCTCCAAAGAAGGTCTCTGGCCCAGGATGTCTGTTTTACCAGCAATGTGAAAAGTGGGGATTAAAGCCAATTAAAGTCAATTTGGCTGAAAATTTTCCCAAAAAGGACTCACCATTGCAAGAATGCTAATTAACTTAGTAGGTTCCTCTGCATCTACTTTCAGCTTGCTTAGTGATATTTCAGATCCTGAAGTTGCTGACTCATTCCTCAAGTAACCACAACTCAGCTTGTCCATAGATTAAGGGTCATCCAGGTTTAAGGTTGCTCCAGACGTTAGCTTTTATCTTCCCTGAGCTGCTCCCCAGCCAGCCAGCCCACCCTAGTGAAACCGAGGTGATAAATAACCTTGGGTAATAAGAAGGGCTCTAGGACCCAGGGGAATAAGGGAGGCAAACTCTGGGAGTCAAACTGCAAATTCCTCACACAGCGCAGTCCAAGATATTTCCTCTTGGTTGTTGTAGTTGTTTGTTTGTTGTTGCTTCAATTGCTTCTTTCGTTTGCCTTCCCCTCCCTTCTCTCCAAACGCTTCATTGCCTTCCTTCGTTGGGGTAGAGATGTTAAAACAATTGTTCCCTTCTGAACTGGTAAGCAAAAAAACTGGGTTTTTTAACCATAGTCCCACAGACTACTTTAGTTGCCCTGCACGCAGTGACAGAGAACGGAGCTGGAAAGCAGGTTAGTGAAGGGATACGGCTGGCCGGTGGAATCGTGGTGAGGACTTGGCCTGGCTGGCCTGGCTGAAGGGCCCTCAGGTAACCCGGGATGGGGGGGGATGGGGCAGCTCTGCATCCCCTGCCTTGTGTCGTCCTATGCACCACCACCACCTCACTTTGTTCTTTGCCACTTCTTGCTCACCGCCAAAACCTAGCAGGAGGCTGAGCAACGCGCTGGTGCAGCAGCCACAAAGTGAGGTGGTGAGGGATGAGAATGAAGTAAGGTGGGGGGTGCAGAGCTGCCCCCACTGCCCAGCACCAACTTACCTGATTGTCCCGCCAGCCAGGCACTGAAGCACCACAACTGCCACCACAGCAAGACAGAGAGAAAGAGAAGGGGGGCTCTCCAAACTGTGTGTGTGTGTATGAGAGAGAGAGAGAGAGAGAGAGAGTGATCTCTGCTTCAGTCGGGGTATTCAAGCTGTTGGCGGTGGTGGCAGCCACCTAAGCAGACATGAGTTTCCCCTTCCTAACCAGCCAGCCCCACCTGACCTGGCTAGCAGTAAGGCTGGCACATACAAGCGAGCAGCATGCCAGGGCCAGAGCCGGCGTTGGCTCCTGTGCCTGCCGGTTCAGATTCCACGGCCGGCCTTATTGTTTGAAGGCTGAAGAAAGCCTTTAACTGAGCGAGGAGGCACTGCGGGACAAGTCCTTCACATCTACGTCCAGCCCACCAGTTTGCCATGCTGGGGTAGGAATGACTCTGTCCCGCAGAGCCCGACGCTGCTTTAGCCCCCACCTTGCTTTGTCCTCCATCCCCTACCACCTTCGCTGCTTAGGTGGCTCTTGCTGCCCCCACCATTGCTGGCAGCTTGGGTGCCCTGGCTGAAGCACAGATCGCTGTCTCTTTCCCACACACACACACACACACACACACACACAGAGGTTGCATCGGATTGCTCTCTTGCTCTCTCTCTCTCTCTTGCTCTCTCTCTTGCCCCACTTGCAGGCAAGTGTGGAACAATGAGGTCTCATTAAGTAGTTAAGTGGAAAGTAGTTGGGGAGGGGAGCAGGAAACCAGCAAACACTTTTTGCACTGAGAATGAAAGTTTCTGGGTCCTTGACTCTCTGCAAAAGAGGATGGGTGCCTGAACCTGCATGATATTATAGCACCCAAGAGCGTCCATTCTCAGCACGAAAAGCATTTCTGAGCCAACTCTCCTCTCCCTTCCTCAAAGGCAAAGAAACAGCAGCAGAGAAGATACAAATGTTTGCAAGGTAAAGGAGTCCTTGGGGCAGGAAGAGATGGAGAAGCATGAGGTATTTTAGCGGGTCGGGTAGGCCTTGAGGGCCTGTTCTATCACTAGGCTCCCCCATGGCCTTCCCCACCCTTAAGATACCTCATGTGCACTTAATGAATGGCACATTGGTATTCTTGAATAGTGAGTTCTTAGGAAAGTATCCCCTTTGTGTGCTGCAACAGCCATTTCCAGTGAGGAAAACAGGACAAAGCAGAAGGGGGAAAATATTTTCTTTTGCTATATTTCCAGTCTGAATTAGACTATGCAGGAGAGCCCTTTTAAGCCTTATATATATGGAAAAGCAACTAACTCACCTCTGTTCTTAAATGCTGTTGCACATAAAAAACAGAGGAGCTCTAATCAACTATCAGAGCCATCATTTTGACAGTTTTGCTGTACTGTTGTCTGTGGACGCCCCCATGAAATGCAAGCATGGTAAATTGAGCCTGGTTTGTTCTATATAGTCTATAGTCTTAGTCTATAAGTGGCCACAAGCTACTAGCAAAAGTGGCATTTGATCACAAGGTGAGGAGGCAGCGAGAAATTTTTCCCCTTTTGCTTTTGAGCATCCAAGAAGGTACAGGAAAGACAAAGAAAAAGAAGCAAAGAGGGGAAAGAAGAAAAAAGAAAGGAGAATGAAGAGGGAAGGAAAAAGAAGAAGGAAAAAGGAAGGAAGGAAAGGCGATTATAATGAGAGAGAGTGAGGGTCTGAGATAAATCCTGCCTTAGCACTTGGCCACCAGCAGCTCTGCTGCCTTTTGCCCTCCCCTTGTCCCCTCTTCCTGACCTCTCCTGGTGGTCTCCAATCCTATCACTGAGGATGCTTTGGTTACAAAGCCGGGTCTCCTGGGAAGGAGGAGTGGGCCTCCCTCTGATATACACTTTGCCCTCCCGCACACACCATGAGCAACCTGGCGAAGGAGCTAGCACAGCAGTAGTGGGAGCTGGCCACGCCCATCATGGCCACTGCCATCACGCCCAAGTCAACCACAATCCTGATGCGGCCCTCAATGAAATTGAGTTTGATACCCCCGGCTTATTGGAAGATTATATTTAAAACAAACTTCTTAGCATTTTTCTTTTTCAAGAATGGGAGGAAGGAATGGTTAAGATATATAAATTGGGCAAATTCACATAAAGGCTGAATAAGGAAAAGGCATGTTCCCATCTCCCTCTCTGGGGAATGATCTGATACTCACCATCGAGTATTGTCGTAGTAATGCTCCAGCACCGAGTATCCGAAGAAAGAGTTATTGGGTCCTTGATAAATCACGGGATGATCCAGATCGATGTTATAGGAATAAACCAAGGCCACGGAAAGCGTCGCCACTAGGACTTTAAATCCACCCCGCTTGCCCTCCCAGGGAAATCCAGCCATTCTGTAGTTTTCAAAGTACGCCTCCTCTCAGCCGACTAAGAAAAGCCCTTTCTTGTCGGCTTTGCGGCAGGGGAGAGATGCGTGGCCGCTGCCTGCCGCCCGCGCTTCGACTTTGAGGAGGCAGGATCAGCAGCAGAGAACAAAACGCCCTCGCAGCAGTTTATAGCATTCAAACAGTTCCTTCGCCACAAACAATAAAGAAGGGAGGAGGAGCGATTAAGCCAAAATTCCCGAGTCAGCGTTGTCCCGCTAAAGTCTCGAGTAGCAGCGAAAAGCGCAGTTAGCGAGAGTAAACACTCCTGAATCCGGAGCGCTATTTCACGCCAACCCCCAGCCCAGGTCGCGTGGGGCCACAGTTCCCCTGTTCCAAAACGCCGCCGTCCAAACTAAACGCCGTAGCCATGGACGCCCTCTGGTGCCCGGTCTAAGAGGCTCAGCAAGGCAACTCTTCTCGGAGCGTTGTCACTGCTCTTTTCTTGGCCGACTGGGGGTTAAGTTTTAAACACACTGCCTGGCTGTGGTGACGCAACTCCACGGTAGTGTAAAACTGGGGTTGGAGAATGTACAGCGCAATGCATTATACAAAGGCACTCGATTGTGCCGATGAAGGCACTTGGGTATAACAAACCATAACTTAATTAACTAGGGCTGAATGATGGGAGGACTGTATATTTTCTATTTTTAGCGTACCATAAAACCATTATTATCCATGGTATTGCCAAATATTCCCTAGCTGGCTTCCCATAAGCAAATTGGAAACAGCAGGAAGTCAGAAGTCAGTCACATGACATCGTCATTTAACAACCCATGTTGTCCTCAATAACAGTAACAGGGCCTGCCATTGTTATGCAGAGAAATTGTATGACATCATACTTTATAACCACATTGCTTAATGATGAAAATTCCAGTCCCAATTACCATTGTTAAGTAGAACTACTCACAAAAACCTAAATAAAGAAGCTGCTGAAATGGACTATTTTGTCTTAAGCTTTTAAACTGTTTGATTTTATAGACTTTGATTATGTTGGAAGAAATGTCCATTTGGGCTCAATTCCAAGCCTGAAGAAAGAGACTGAAAACATGGAGACCGCTTGGAAAGATAGTTTAATGATGGACAGGACCACATGGTTTGAGGCCCTGGACAAAAAAGATCACATGGGTGATTTATACCCAATCTTGGGCCCTGCCTTGGAGCTTCCTGTTCCTGTGTAAAGGCAGGTATCCTGATTGGTTGTCAGGCTCCCATGGGGCCATGCAGGGGTAACTTTGTAGGTTGTCTTGAATCCCAAGCTTGGTTGAAATTTGCTGAGTGATGCAATCTCCACAGGTGCCATGTGGTGAGTTCTGTTGCTAGATGGGTAGAGGGTTAATCCTATTATTTCCTGAGGGTAAATGTCTTTTGTGTTGTAGATAAACTGGCCGAGCCTTTCTGGGACTATTAGCAAAAATAGGGGCTGCTTTCCAAGAGCATGTTTCTCCTTTTCTCATCCAGGAAGGTATAATATTCTGCCTTTTTAATATTTCCTAGAATATTTCATTCTTCTAGGAGAGGGATGGGTGCTAACTTCCTACAATCCCCCCTTTTGTGCTAGGGCAAATAATTTTGCCAATTATTTTGCCCTCAGCACAAATCCAGGGTAGCGTCAGAGTATATTTGATACTCATGATCAGTTTGAACCATCATTAAGGCAAACTGTTTTCCCTTTTCATTGTGTTTTGGAGGAGCAGGACTGCAGGACTTAAGGCAGCTCAGGCCTGGGGAGGGGAGAACAATTACAGAGGCAGCAGAAAAGTATCCCTTGGCTCCCAAAAGGGGAGCTTTCAGCCATAAACATCTAGCAACCAGGAAAAAAGTCCTCTAAAGGAATTTACAGTATCCAATTTTCCATGCTAATTATTTTCAGAGATTTGATGTCACTGTCAGATCCCTAAAAGTGATACTGCCATTCAATTGAGAGAAGGGGGAAAGTTGGATTCAATTTACTAGCATTGTCTGTGTCAACAAATATTTTGCAACCTATATCCTAGCGCCAAAGCACCCTGAGATCTCCTTAGCGTTGAGGAATGTTTATGACAGCCATGTGGGCTGTTTCACTTTAAAGGATAACAGAGGATAATGATGTGAATACATGTTTATCCAGTTCTAAGGGCAGCTAGTAAAGAAAACATTTTCACACTTGTGTATTGGCTAAAATCTGCATTCTGGCTTAAGGGAGGGGTCTCTACTGCTTTAATCCTACTTGTCTTGCCTAAGGGTATTCGGATGTTGCTTTGAATCCATTGCTGTCACTTCTGCTTAATAAAAGGTTCCTTTTGAAGTACTATGTTTCAACCTTTTTTCCTCCTAACAATTTAAAATTCTTGTCCCTAGGGATCAGATACATTTAACAGTTACAATTACCTTGAGGGCACCAGAACCAGGGACAAAATATTACTTATCTTCTTCCACTTTTGCTATAAGATAAGATAACTTTGTCAATTTTACTGGCCCACATTAGAAATGAAATTCTGATGCCTGCTCTCAAGAGAAAAATTGTATCTACCCAAACAATAAACATGCTATTATATGTGTGTGTGTGTGTGTGTGTGTGTAGGTAGGTAGGTAGGTAGGTAGGTAGGTAGGTCTTTGGTTATTCAGGTTTTCTCCCACATAAAATTGGAAGTGTCTTGGCAACATTTCGACAGAGTCTCATTCGTCATCTTCAGGCTGGTGTTTTCGGCTTCGTGCTTCTAGGAGCAATGTGTGATTGCAACTGTTTCTTCCTTTTAACTGCCAGTGGGGGTGTGAACTGATTGGGTGGGAGCTTGGCTGTGTTCTGATTGGGTGGAGCTGTGTTCTGATTGGTTGGGGGCTTGGTTGTGCTCAGGTTAGTCTGAGTTGCAGGGGGTTTTGAGCTGGTGAGCTGCGTTGCTGTTGTTTGGCTTCACGTTCGTGGTCGTGCCACATCTTCATGGTGGGTGTCAGTTTGCTTCATGTATGGATTGGAGGGGTTTAAAGTGGCTAATGATGCAGCTGTGGTCTGGCTTCTGGTTTGTGGTCATGCCTCATTGGTGTGGGTTTGGGTTTGCTTTTTGCGTGGATGTGTGGTGGTGACATCCTGTGTGGTTTTCATGAGTGTGGGTCTGGTGTCATTCTTTGTGTTAGGGACTTGTTTGTCAATAAGGGCGGGTTTCCAAATGGCTGGTAGGTGGGAGGTATCATCTCGTTTATTCATGCTGTGTGGGCATTTTTCTATCTCGATGGCTTCTCTGATTATTCTGTTGTTAAAGTGTTCAGTTTTGGCGATAGTTCTGGTCTTTTTAAAGTCAATTTCATGTCCTGTGGCTTTAAGGTGTTGGACCACGGAAGAAGTTGGTTCCTCTTTTCTGACTGAGTTCTTGTGTTCTTCAATGCGTGCACTTATTCTTCTGTTGGTTTGTCCGATGTATGTGGTAGGGCAGGCGGTGCATGGGATTTCATATACTCCTTGATTTTCTAACTCAATTTTGTCTTTGGGGTTTCTTAGGATGGTGGGTATTTTTCAGTTTGTGCAGAATGCTGTCTTGATGTTGTGTTTGTGGAGGATCTTGCTGATTCTGTCTGTGGTGCCTTTTATATATTGGTGGAGGGCTTTGCCGTTTTCTTGTTCTCTGTCTTGGATTTTAGTGGGGTTTCTTTTTGGATTAGGTTGGTAATCTTATTTCTTTGGAATCCGTTGGATGTTAGTACGTTAGTGAGAGTGTGTAGTTCGGTTTTTAGGTGTTGTTCGTCACCTAAGCGTTTTGTTCTGGAGATGAGTGTCTTGGCTACCGAGTTGATCTGTGCTGGGTGGTGGTGTGAGAGTGCGTGCAGATGTGTGTGTTTTCTTCTGGTAGATGGTGTGTCCTAGGGAGCCATTGGATTTCCTGTAGACTAGACATCCAGGAAGGGAAGTTGGTTGTTAGCTTCCGTTTCCATGGTGAACTGTATTTTGGAGTGTAGGCTGTTGAGATATGTGAGGAAGTTGTCCAGTTTTTCTTTCCCGTGTGGCCAGATTATGAAGGTGTCGTTTACATGTCTGAGCCAGAGTTTGGGTTTGTGATCAGATTTTTCTAGAGCTTGGGTTTCAAAGTGTTCCATGTAGAGGTTTGCAATGACAGGTGAGAGGGGTGATCCCATGGGTGCTCCTTCTATTTGTTTGTATTTTTGTCCATTATAGATGAAGTATGTGTTGGATAGGCAGTGGTTGGTCAGATCTAGGATGTGCTTGGGGGGTTATATTTGTTTTGGATAGCTGTCAAGGCTTCTTTGATTGGTACTTGGGTGAAGAGGGATATGACATCGAAGCTCATGAGTAGGTCGCTGGGCTGTAAGTTTTGTTTCTTTATGATCTCTATGAACTGGAATGAGTTTTTTACATGTGAGGTGATGGATTCTGCATAGGGCTGTAGTTGTTTGGCGAGAAATTTGGCTAGGTTTTGTAGAGGTGAGCCTATGGAGCTGACTATGGGTCTAAGTGGGTTCCTTCTTTGTGTATCTTGGGGAGACCATAGAGCTTAGGGCATCTGGATGATTTCTCTCTGGGAATGATTCTTTGCGGGATCTCTTCGCTGATGGGGGAGGCTTTTATTTTGGATCTAATGGTTTTTTCCAGGTAGGTGGTGGGATCTGTGTTTAGGGGTTTGTATGTGGAGTCTTGGAGTAGGTTGGTTAATTTGGTTTGGTAGCCAGATGTGTTCCTAACCACCATGTTATTGCCCTTGTCTGCTGGTAGGATTATTATGCTGGTGTCTTTTTTCAGGTTAAGTAGTGCTATCTGTTCCTCTTTGGGTAAGTTGCTTTTGGGTGGCTTGTTGGTGCAGAGGATGTTGGTGATTTCGAGTCTGATTCAGTTAGCGTCATCGGGGTTGATTTTGATCAGGCTGGTTTCAACTCCACATATAATGGTTTCAGTGGGGATGTGTTTGGGAGCGACTGCAAAGTTGAATCCTTTGGAAAGAACATTGGTTTCGGCTTTGGTGAGGATCCTATCTGAGATGTTATGCACTGTTTGTTTCATGTGTGGCTGTGAGGGGGAGGAGTTTGTTTCTGTTGTTCTTGTAGTCTTCGGAGTTTGTTGGTGTGTGTGTGTCTGTCTTGAGGGTGGTCTGTGTTTCGGCTCTCCAGAGGGCGAGTTGTTTGGATTTGTCCAAAGTGCGGGGTGGATCTTGTTGCTGAGTTTGAGGTGAAGTGTGAGGAGATCTTTGACCTCAGAAAACACACACACACACGCGCGCACACACACACACACACACACATACACATACACATACATATATACCTGCACCTTTGCATATACATACATACATACATACATACATACATACATACGTACATATATATATACAAGCATCACTTATGTGCTATG